CAACAATTTCTGGCCTCAGCGGCTGTGGTACTATTGTAACAATGTTTGTCATAGCATACTATAGATACAGTTTGGATATCGCAGTGAGGAAGTTGTTCTTTGACGAGGCTGTATCCCACTCAGGCAGGGTTGGCCTTTACGGGTTGTTTCAATCGAAGCAGGCCGTCACCTAAAGAGTGTGTCGATGAGACTGTAAAACAATTGCAGTCTTGTTTGTTTTAGTAAGCATTTTGGGGCACTTGTAAAGCGGTTAGGTTATTTTTGTGTCGAATTTTAGAGGTGATATAAAAAATACAAAACACTAAAAAGAAGGAGAGTTAAGGACAATAGATGTTCAATAGGAAAAAAGGCATATACCACATCAGAGCACCCGCCAACAACCCACTATTCCAGTCCATTTCTAGCTGTCTTTCCCACTTTCTTTTATTGTTAAAATGCGTCTCTCTGTTCTGTAGTCAAGTAATCAAGCACTCGAGAAATCTTTCCCGCCCTCTCTACTTATATTATTAGTATCATACCTCCTCCGTTTTTTTCTCTCTCTTCATATCCTCTTTTGCGAGCACACACACATACACAAACACACATAAACACATACACAAACACACACACACACACACACACACACACACACACACACTCAAACACGCACACACACATACTAGCATACTCACAGCTACACCCATACCATGCACAACAAAGAGCAGAGGTGAAATTCAAAAATAGAAACAGGAAACAAGAAATCCAATAGCACATTTTCAGGATATAAATAAACCCAAAAAAGGCTTTATAGATACTCGGAAGATAAAAACACGATTTGAGGTCGACAGAAAAGTTGGACGAAAATGACCGTCGAAAAAACTGGGCGACAGGCCCATTATAGCTTGGAAACAATACGTTGGATCAAGAATAGGGTCCCTGTTGTCTTTCCAAGGGAACCACCTTCGGTGCAACGATACTAGAGAGTTGTCTAATATCTGTGTCTGTCGAGGTATCTTAAATATCAATTAGCGTGTTGCCAGAAAAAGGCTGGAAATGGTGGTCCCTTTGTGCGAAGTCACGATATTTTGTAGACATCGTATTATTTTTCCTGAAAGACTCACGTTTTTTCGAAGACCAGAATTGATATATATTTTATGTTGTTTTTTTTCGAACATGATCTTTTTCTTAATTATTCTTCCGTCTTCATTTTGTTATATAAAACGAATGCCGTACATGAAAACAACAACAACAGAAGCAAAAGCAAAAACTAAAGAAATACAGAAGACGTGAGTTCCGTTCCCATGCAGAGAGAATACATTTTTTATCTAGTATCTCGTTCTTTCTGCTCCAACATTGTAACCCTCATAGACCTGCTGCCCTGAAAAAAAATGAAGTCTTGATTTTTTTCCAATACTAAATGACCCTACGAGTGTGGCTG